TGATAAGAAATTATTAGTCTAGTTGAATTTTAGAGATTGAAACATTCAAAATATAGGGGAATTCTTATTTGATGAAATGTCTAGTTAAATCCATCAAAACTAGTGAAAACATTATTTCTCTCGTGAGTTACACACCCAAACTTATTCTTTTAAAACATGCCTATGAAATCAAGGCAAAAAATCTATAGCTATAGAGTAAATCTGTTATTTCAAAAGAATGAAATGATGGACATTCGAGAGATAATTTACAAGAGGGTAACTTTTGCAAGTTGCAAAGTGCCCAATTTTTGGACAGCCATTTTACTCTTTAGATTTCATCAATCTGAGCCATTTTACTAGTTTAATTTCTCTCTTGTTGTTTTTTCCCCTTTTGGTTGATGTTAACACATTTTCTAGATTTTCTTGTGGTTTCTGATAAGTGTATTTTTTATATTTATCTATGCTGTTAAATTAGAATATTTTTTTTATTAATTTGATGAATTATAGTTTATTTTATGTTAATCTTATTTGTTAGGTAAAATTCGATGCAAAATGGTGAAATTGGAAGAAAGAAACAAGAAACAAGAAACGGGCAAAAAAGAAGAAATCAAAAATTCTAGCACCAAATTGCAAATATTTAATAGTTGAGTCGGACAACAAAACAACTATCGAAGATCATGCTTGTTCAATTGGATGAAAATGGAAACAAAGGGTAAAAATTGCAAGAGGAAAAGTCCCAGACACGCCATTGAGAAATTCAGAGACCAATTGGACCAATTTGGACCCCACGGAAGAAGAGGCTTGCGTGAGCACCAAACAAGCCATTGTACACGCAAGGAATCAATATGATGAACCTTTTGAAGCCAAAAATCTCAAGGGTTGCATGCATTCTCACATGTATCGAATGAAGATGAACCATTTGTTTCTTTATTTTCAATTCAAAGACAAATATTTCAGTTAATTATTGTGTTTTTTGATTAATCGTGCATGCTTGTTGCATTATTTAAATGCTTGAGCCACATTTAGATAACTAGTTGCTTGTTATAGTCTTGAAAGACTTACAATAAATTTAGAACACTACATGATTAACACAAAGATAACAGATAATTATGAATAAAATGTGCGTGTGTTAATCTTATTGATAATCATGGAATTGAATGCATTGCTTTGCATATAAATCTAAACTAGGAATAAGATCAGGTCTTGCTTAGAATGTATTTAACTTATCTTGAAAAAAAGTTAAGTATAATAGGATTATTGATTGTCGTGAATGCATAATTAATACTACATCACATAGTTGAGAATTGGAAATGGATAATAATATGTGGAATTTAAATCCAATACAATCATCCCACATAAGTTTAGAAACCAAACTTTTTACATATCTCGTAGAATAATTCAGAATAATTACAACAAATTTCTTTTGTGTTACAATAATTCGAATTTAATAGATAATTAATACACTTGAATTAAAATTTATTCCTCGTGAAACAATAACTCAATTCATCACGTATTACTTGTCAACGATCCAGATTGTGGGTTTCACTTGATCAGTTACCATTTTCACTGTAGGTATCTTCAACCATTCATTGAAAAATTTCTTTTACCTCAGAAAATTTTCAGATGCTTCCAGTTGCATTTTCTTCCTTTTGGGAAATGTTTGGTTGGCTTTTTCTCACGAGTTTTCCTCATGGTTAATCGTAACCATTTTCCACAGACAACACTAATCTATATATCTCAGAATCTGATGGACAGGCAACCTGCAGAATCTCGATCACTTTCCTTTTATGCAGGCACTACCTACACACTAGAACACACAATTAGAAGGCAAAGTTGTTGAGTTGAGAAAAAAGTCAAACGATCGTTTGCACTTCGATGATCAGATCAACGGTCAGACGATAGAGGATGAATGCAAAAGATGAGAGATGAGGATTTGGCTATGATTAAAATAATCTTACCTTGTGTTTGAAAGGGCTCGCCTATGTAAAATGATGAAAATTTGCCAAGACTATTAAATCAGGCTGAAATACAAAGTTATGTTGTTTAATTAACTAGGCCCAATCCAATTGATATAATTAATAGCTAAGTTGATCAATGTGATCTTTATATTTTTACCCAAAATATCAATCGGGCAATTGTACTTTAATTTTATTTAATCGAATAAATACACCTTATTTTGATTTTTTTATTGAAAATCTATGCATATATTTGATTGTAATTGATATCTACACTTTAATTCAATTTCTGTTAAGGTAATTCTGGTCAACTCAACTAAAAAAATCGATGATAGATAGTTAATAAATGACATCATTCGCACGTGGCAATTAGTTGCTAACATAATATAAGTGCAACTTCAGTTAAATAAATTAATTTTCGTGCATTCAATGATGGAATTGGACGAAAATATTCAATTAAAATTAAAGTATAATAACTGATTGAATAAAATTAAATTATGGTTTTCCGATTGACACTGTAATAGATGAAAGTATAATTACTAGAATGAAAACTTATAACTTGCTATTAAATTTTTCGCTAAAAGTAATGCTATTGTTAATATATATATATATATATTTTACAGAATAGAAAATTGACAATTACTAGAAAAAGAAAAATGGGATAATGGAATAGTAAATTGAGGCATGGTTAAAAAATAACCTTAGCATAGATTTGCTCCCATGCCATAGGTGCTTGAGGTTAATTGAGTGTCCGATTCCGATAATACAAAGGTGGAACAAAAAGGAACTGAGCACTAAACTTTTGCACCGGCAAAATATATTTTATCTTATCCCTCATAGATTAGGTCTGATAGCATGAGGATCGGTTAATTAAATAAGAAATGGGAGATAGCACTCAATTTCGTTGGTAGTTGGTACCATTCAATTGAATCATAATTTGATTTGATCTATTCATTTTTATGTTTCTAACCCATTAAAAAAATCCGCATTCGTTTAGATTTCTGTAAATTCGTGAGGGATAAGATTGACAGACTCTTCCAAAAATGAACAATACATATGATATAACGATTTTGACAGATAGGCTTGGGTCGTTACATAATTGACCAACATTTATAGGTGCTTAAAATCATTAACACCATAATTAATTGACTTTTAATTTGCCCATTAACATAAGATATTAGTCTAATCATAATCGTCTAGAGTTGTTACATAATCAAGAATGGTAGCTAGAAATAAATAGAAAATACAATGGCAAAACGTGGCTCTACTTAGTCAAATTTCGTGGCTACAAGTGATGCTCCCTCATGCATTTAATGGTCCAATGTGCTAATCTTATTTCCTTGCACGCGTGTATCAGAGAGCATCGCATGCTATACATGATGATTAACAATTATCCTATATGTACAGGAGGTGGTTCACAGATTTGCCACATGGATTTGAAATGGTCTGATGTGGCAAGTGGGGGGGGGGGGTGGGGGGCGGGAGGGGGAAAAAAACAAAACAAGGAAAACCTAGGAGTGTCAACGAGGCGAACCAAGCTGACTCGTGAGCCAAAACTCAGCTCGGGCATTTTTTTTTTTTTAATGCCCGATCCAGATGGTCCGAGCCGACGAGCCCAATTGCCATCCCTAGGAAACCGAATGTAAAATTGGGAAAAGCACAAATCAATTTCAAAGTTCCCTCCACCGAGATGGGACGAATTCATCATCCAATTTAGTGACCTCCATCTCCGACCAACCTACTGACGGTTCACCCAATGACCTTCATTACCCGCATCTTGGACAGCCTTGACTGAAGGGCCTACTTTCCCGTAAAGATTCGTCTGGTCCTTTCTCCATCTCTGACCAATCGATCGACAACGCATCATTCTACCACTTGCATCGTCGACGTCTTCTTTAAGATAAGGAGTTGGAAAGTATCATTGCCCTGTCGGGGAAAGACATGTTTTAAACTCTTTTCTAAAATGTAGTGTAATAGTGAAAACAGAGGAACAAATCTGTGTGAAGAGAGAGTTCAAAATTTAGAATATAAACTCAACTCATGTAGTAGTAAAGATACTGCTAAGGGTTTTCCGTTTCCCACATAGTGAGTCCTCCGATTTGCCTAATACGATGGGGAAGAAACATAAACAAAGTACCATTTTTGTACTTCGCTAAAAATGATTATCAAAATTAATTTTTCTTTTACTGAATTTACTGTTTTGAGAAGTAAAAATCCTGAACTTCTCACCAAAAACCAGACTGGTGGGTGCATAAGTTGGGGAAGACGATGTTTCTTTTTATGTTATAGAAAGCATTCCTCAAGGATAATGAAATGCACATGTTTCTAAAGCTATTTTGTACACAGCATTTCCGATTTTCGAACACTAAAGCCATTTTCAAAAGCTTAGCTAGCTAATGAAATGCGCATATTTAAATTATTTGGCTGTTATGTGGTAATGCTTATCGCTTATTTCATCATAGGAGTGGAAATTATGGAAGAGGAGCATGACAGTTTATTGGTTGAATTTGAGAATGAGAATGTCATGAGCACTGCCAATGTAGTTGAAAATGATAAGATTGGAGAAGAAGCTGTACCAGATGTTTAGGCATCTGAGCAACAGTTGCAATGATCAGCTTGCAGATTTCACTTTTGCGCAGTACCTACTTGAGAAGGTGAATATTTCTAGATTAATGATTTTGATTTAATTCTGAGCTGTTTAGCTGTAGCTAACATTTTGGTTAACTTTCATGTCAAGTAGCTTGCAATGTTCGTTGACATATCGGAAGGTAAATAAATTATTTTCGAGTCTATTTCACATTATGTCAACATTTCTCTGGTTTATTAGATAGAGCATTTACATGATATGAGTTTGTTCAATTGCAAAAATTGAAAAAAAAAAAATTTTGATATCTGGGCTGCAATGATTTCAAAGAAGGATAACCCTTGTTTAGGCTAATGCAATTGAGTGGCAACCTGATGAAGTCCCACAAAGAATCTGTCTTTCCCACAAAACTCGTCTCAATTTCATAGCTAATCCCCATTCAAGTATCAAAGGAACCACGTCTTTTACCAAACAGCTCAATCTAGCAAGAGAGAATTAAGATCAGAAATGTCAATAATGAACCTGCGATAGCTAATACAATGTTCACCAAACTGAAGCTAATACAATGTTGCAGAGCTGATCTTCTACACTGATGCCAAGTACATATATTCTCTCACAATACCAATTTTTGATCGCTAATACAAAACGGACACAATACAATACAACTCGTTCAACAACTAACTACTAAACATGCTGTGCCGGCCCCTTTCCTTTCCCACACTCCTTCACGTGTCCTTTTTCCTTACAAAATATCATGTTCGCTGAAATCTTGACACCTTGTTTGATGGCTATTCGAGCAAGAGAGTCAAACACGCTTGGCAACTCTTCGAATTCTTCATTGGCCACGGCGTTCACCGCTTCATCAATGTTACTCGATTCACCACTTGATTTTTCCTTTTCAACCCAGTCAAAGTAGCCGCAGTCGTCACACTCAAGCTCCAAAATTCGCCCCTCTCATCCTGAGATTGACAACAACTAATTACAGACAGAAATGCGCATCAATAGATACGAACTCAAAAGGTATTCCACCATTACACTCTTACTAATGCAAACTTGTGCGAACTCAAACTGAAATTAATTACAGGAGATTCAAACTCAAACTAATTATGAAGATGCAAACTGAATTCATTCCACCATTACCCACCTACTGAAAAGAACCCATATAATTACAGGAAGAGATGCACATTGAAACAGATTTTAAATCCCTATAAAACAAATTAAGGCTGTGAAAAAAAATTCATACTCGAAAATGGCAGCTCAAACGGTAATTAAGGCAGTGAAATTTGATGCCAAAACATGGAGGAGATGTGACTAGTTAAAATACTACCTTTTTCGTTGTCTTGTTTGGGTAAAGCAGGAAAAAATTGTTCTTCACTACTGCATAGTCAGTGGTTCAAATATCTCGTCGGAGATGCTTCTATAGTGGTCATTCGACACAATCGCTGGCGGAGAAGCACTATGGTGCGAGGTCAACTGAGAAAATGGTCTCCAGTGAAGAAGCTGTGCAGTGTGACGCCGACTCCAAGAACGGGCTCTCGTCGATCTCCACTGGATGCGCTGGCGGAAGATGGAAAGCAGAGCAACAAAGGAATTGAGTCGCCACTAGAGAGTTGTGGCAAGAAACTCAGAAGTGAAATGCCCTAATGAAACAATTTCATGGGATGGTGTTTCGCGCGGGTTAATTCGCTAACAATTAAAGAGGATCAGACGATTGTGTAAGGGACGAAACCTCTTGAAACAAAGTCCCAAAAAAGGGTGTTCTTTTTATTGGCGATGAACTTTACAATTGGAAACGGAAAACAACGTGCCTCCAAGGGGCGCAAGCACACGAGTTACAGAAAAGGAAATGTTTAAGTCTAAAAGTTAAAGGAATGAAAATTACATATTCTCTGTTCGAGAGTTTTGGATTCGGTCCTTGCTTCTAAGTTCTTTCTCCCTTTTATACTTCATAGGCGATCCCTTTGTGATTAACTGCTCTAAAAAACTGCTTGATCGCCCAATAACTACCCACTTTCTTTGTAATGGCCACTTTGTCATGCAACTGTCTTTTAACTGCTGCCATTATCTTGCATCGTTCAACCGCTTTCGATTGAACCCCTTGAGTCGTGGAACGTGATGAAATTACTTTAGCAACTGCTTCAATAACTGCATCATAATGCGTTATGTTTGTTGATACCTTGGGCGACT